AGTCATCAAAGTGGAAAAGGATAACAGAAGAGAATATACTCAGGCATCCTGTTACAGCTGTTGGTGATGGTTTGGAGATCATTAGCATAGAGATGGGAGTTGAAACCATAGGCATAAATGTGATGGCTCAAAAAGGGAATAGAGTGGAAAAAAGAGGACTGGGAAGGAAAAATTGAAGACATTAATATATAATGAATATACAGAAGAAGTGAAGTCAACCAAAGAGATAGACAAATAGGCAGAAAAATAGGAAATCTAGGAGAAGGTAGTCTCTGGAGAAACAAGGAAATAAAGAGGTTGAAAGAGAGTAAACAACAGTGTGAATGTAGTTTGAGTAGGATAAATAAAGTCACTGGTCTTAGCAAGTAAGAGATCATTGGTGATATGTGAATATTTCAGTGGAGTATCCAGAGCCAAACCACACTATAAAGGATTAATAAATATTTAAGAGATAAAAAGAGAGTTAATTTTACACTTATGTTGTGCAGTTTGAAGGTCAAAAAAAGAAAAAGATACTAGCTAGATGTCAATGAGAAAGTAGTTACAAATAAGTTTGGCTTTTCTTTTATAATTTGTTTACCTTTTATGTTAATATAAATGCTATTTAAGTATGATTTATACATTGGAATAATAAAAATAATAATGGAAAAACTGAAAATAGACCAGGATATTTGATGGAAACAAAATGCAAAAAAAGAAACTCAAATTGAATAACATTCTACATTTCCTTTTTTTTTATAGAAATAATGGTGAAGTTCACATTTACTGAAGGATTTTCTGCAAAAAATCTTGACAAGGGTGTGACACCCACAAGACTAATGACCAGATTTTGAACACTGTAAAGATAAGGGCCAGGGGACCTTCCTAATCTACATTTCTTTCAATGAGCAAATAACAGAACCTTAATGCTGATGAGCTGAACATAAGAAAGGGCAGTTTAGCAGCTTGTAGAAAAGAGAAAGGAAATGACAGAGTAATAAACACTGTGGAAAAGGAATAAAATTTCCACTAAAGACCCTTAACTTCTTTACAGGAAGCCTTTATTTTTCAGTAGTTTGTACTGAACTATCTAAAGAATTTAAATTCAACTTTCCAACCCACTGGTTGTACCTTTAGTAAGAACTTAATGGTTGGTTCAACAATTACTGTTACAAGAGGTTGAAATAACATACAGTGCTGGAAAAAGAAAATCTAGTGGGGATATGGTAACCATATTTTTGGAACCAAGAAAATATCAGGATATAATCTGGCATGGTCTGGCAATGACTCACACACTTGAATTTAGGACTAACTCGGTAGCTCTAGAACATGTGGTTGCTAAGGAATGAAAGATTTCAAATGCAGAAGTATTCTGTTAATAAGTCAGTGCAAAGCATCAATCTAAGAAGGAGCACTCTGCATATCACAGTTATCTTTGAAGACTAATGACTCTTTGATACTGTAAAAATAAAGACCAGTAAATTCTTAGGCTTCCAGGGATGGATACCCAGAAGAGCAAGTTAAGTCAGGTAGAGTTTAGTGGAAGAGAGAGATTTATAGAACAGTTAAAGGGGAATGTTGTATAGACAGTGATAATGCAGAACACAATTAGTGCAAAAACAAAAGTCACTAACTTCCTGGGGTTAGTGACACATGGGGTCAGATTTGCAAAAGAAGGTGATAAGCAAATTGTCTTTTAAAGAAAAGTGGAAGTGAGACTTGAGGACAAAGAACTTCAAAGATAACCTTGCCTACTAGCTATGTCTTCCAGAGAAGTCATTAATATCACCACAGCTCAATGCTATAAATAATCTCAGTGGTGTGAAAACTCAAATACTACATAAGCATGACCATGGTTCACTCAGACTTTTAAAACCACACTTTATCCGGCCTAAATTTTGGAATTCCCCAACTTTTCAAAGTGTGGATAAAATCTGTTGTGAAAGTTGTACTATAAATTCAGATTTTGACCCAGTATTCTTAAATTTTCATGGAGTATGTTCCTCTTTATATGGAGTCACTTAATATTTTATTTCATTGCCAGCCAAGGTGTTCACGTACACATGCTAATACAGTTTCTAACTTAAAAAAATTTTAACTGTGGCTTTTGAATGCTTGAAATTTATTTTTTTTTTGTTTTTCTTTTTGATTTTAATAATTCTAAATGGCAATATAAAAATGTGCAAATTATTTTTTGATGTTATATTCCTTATGGAACTAGGTTAAGTTTTAAACATTTATTTAAAAAAAAAGTTAGGTAGCTTTTTATCTTTCCAAAGTGGCCAGTAATTTGTAAAATATGCTATGGGGAATTTAGGCAATAAATAATCGATATATAATAAATAAATATATATAAGAAATTATTATTTCTTGTAAAATTTAGAGAGTTTGTAGGAGTAAGGAAAATTTTCTCAATTCAGACACAAACAAATGCAGAAAAACTCAAGAAATGGTAAATTTGCTGGCCAAAAAGATTGTTTTATAATTAGATGAGTATGATATTTATGCCCATTATTATTACAAAAGATCTCCAATTTACATATTGGCCTCAAAATTACTGTTTGTAGTTAGTGGTTTACTGGTGTGCTTTAAATAAATATCAAAAAACTAAAACCAAACTTTTTCTTTTTTTTTTCCTGTTTATATGACAGAAGCATTCTGGCTTCACCCACTTAAAAACTCATGCTTCTCTCAGGAAATGAAAACTGTCAGCCAATGTTTAAATTGCTATAGTTTGACAGTTTCAGATTTTCAAGTAATAACCAATTATTTGATAGGAAATTTCCACTCCCCAAATACCTAAGATAGACTAAAATGATTCATAGGAAAATAGGATAATTTCACCCAACTGAACTATTTAACCATTTTTGTATGACTTTAAAGTCATTATATTAACAGGTGAATAAGGTAACTCAAAGTGTATATCAAACTAATATGGGAACAAAATATACACTTTAAAAAAGAAGCAGCCCAATTTCCTGAAGAAACCCATGCTGTTGAAGGTGGCAGTTCTGTGGGAAAGGGCAGAACAACCACCTATCCCTAACCAAGGAGTAGGGGACCTGGAGAAAATTCTTTGGGAGGTCTTCTCTCATTTTCTGTTGGTGAACATTTTTACCCAAGTGAAGTTAGGTTAAAACTGATAGGATAATAGCAAAAACACATGATTCAAAAATATAATCAGCTTTCATTGTTCCTAGGATTGGGGTGAACAATCCACATATGTTTTCTTGGTTAAGGGTTGGGAGATACAGTTTGCTACACTAATTGTGTTTAAATGCATATCAATGTCAGAGCTTTTTAAAAATAGGCAATATCTATTTTTTTATGAATTACTGCCTTGCTACTGGTTATAGCTGAATGGAACTCCCAAAGTATGAGGCTTAGGGTTATTTATTGTAAGTTTCCAACTTCTAAAGAAATCTGTATGTGTTAAGCTTACTTATGCATGTGTGGATAATCTCTAATGATAGAGGCAGGAAATGATATAGACCAGAAGAACAGCATTGACTTAGGGGCAGAGACTAACTAATGCTAAAATCACCTAGATTTAAGTGAAAATTGACATTAAGGATTGGTTCGATATAACCAGTAAAGTATCAGATTTTAAATGGAATATTTGGTTTCTATTTTTTTTTTTAGTCATGTAAGTATAACATAGAGCAATGCAGCTGCTGAGGCATATAGATAATACTTCTTCCTAATAACTTCTTAGTGTTAGAAAAGTTTCTTGGAGGACTGTAGGATTTATGATCAGTGTATTCTATTAGAGACAATTTTTGATCCTGGGTTAGCTTCCAGGAGTTTAAATTGATTTGTGTCATACATGTATTTGGTGTTCTTAGGTTCTCTTATTTATAGTAAGTCAGTCCTTCTTTCATTTGCCCTACTTCCCAAGGTTGTCTTTATCCTAAGCTCCTCTCCTCAGCGATAGACCAACTTGAGCAAGAACTATAGGTACTAACGGTAGGAAACTGAATTTCTGAAGACTCAAATGAAGATTGGTTTAAATTTCAAAGAATATTCTAGGTTTCCCTTTACATGAATTTCTATCAGCTAGATACAATACATGTTATATGTCATTATATTTTGACAACTAGCTTGCAAAAATATAATTAAAAAAGGATAAAATTTTCTAAAATGCTAGTAAAGTTTGTGTTCATCCATCACTTTAATTATAAAAAATTATGCCACATTAACAGTTTGGTGTTTTGTTTGTGTTTACTTATAGTGTAAGTTATTTTCTAATATTGATTAATATTATTTTAGAACTGAAATCAGATAAAAAGAATTTGGCTTTTACATTGTAAGAATAAGCATAATATGTCATCTTGATTTAATTATTTTTTACCCCCACCCCACACAAAAGAAAAACTTTAAAAATGTATATATAAAATAAAATGGGAAACTTGAATCTTGAATTCTGAGTTAAAAATTGGCATCTAGGAAGAAAAGTTCGGCCTATCACTTATACAGAAACACACTGGAGCAATAGGATAATTGTTTATTACTTCTAATTCTGTACTTGGAAAAATATGAAAACTCCTTCAACTAAGGCACAACATAATGTACAAAAATTAATTTTTAGCAATTTAAAAAATTTTCACTGGTTCTATTTATTTACAGGGATATTACAGATGAAAATGTTTTCAAGCAACACACATGTTCAACTAACATATGACCAGTTTTCTAAGTCATGAAATTATCATGTTCTGTAATATATTTTGTCATGCCTTGCATCCCACTGCTATAACCAACAAAGGCTTTGCTCTATAGCTCTTTTTTGTATGCATGCTATGCGTTTTAATCAATTTTTTTCATAGTAAAACTTTTAATTTAATTAGAATTTTCTAAATTTTGCATTTGATTTCAAAGATTAAAGAAGTAAAGAAAAAAGGATATGTATGCCATGTTGTTTGAAGTTTACCTTTACAATAAGCAAAAATAACTTCATGCTTCAAAAAATAAAAACTACGCTTTCTCAGAACTCCAAAGTAATATTGTTTATGATCTCCTTGCAGTTAGATCCTGAAGCTAGTACTGTTCTAAAAGAACTTCAGGTTAAACTCAGTGGGGTTCTGGATGAGCTCAGTGTCACTTACGGTGAAAGGTAAGTGGCCTAAGTAATTACTATCCAAATGTATTATAACCATGTTTTCAGGGCTGTCTCTCTCCTCTGACTGTCTAAATCCATTTAACTTTAAGACTCAGTTTAAGCATCACCACCCCTGGAAAATCTTCCATGACCCTGCAATTTTATAGTGATGTCTTGCTGTTTGCTCCCCAGAACTCTGAGTATCCTACAGTTAGGAGCACTTACAACACTACACTCTAAGTTCTCGTTCACTTGCCTGTTTTCCTCTCATTACTGTATGTTTCTTAAGGGCAGAAATGACATTTCATTCCTCTTTGAAATTCTAGTTTTTAGAGCTTAGCAACTGGCTGTCAAAGGAATAGAGGAAGGAAGAAAGGCAGGGAGAAAATCTTTACATGCATGACAGGGATGAGTTGTATTCATGCCATTCATATCAGTGTGGTTCCTAAGAACTGAACTCTTAACCCCATAAATGAATTAAGACAGCCTGCTATGTTTTAGGCTTTAGAAATGTTAATGCAATTAGCTCATGGGAAACTACTAACACATCTATGTTATGTCTTCTTTTCCCATTAATTAAGTTTGCTTATAATGGTGTGGTTCTAAAAGAATGAGAAGTTCATTCTAGATAAACTTCATTTTGGTGTTATAGGAAAAAGCCATCATCTCATCAGCAAATGTTAAAATAGGAAACTAATCACTTATCAGTCATATCATTTGCAATATTTTCTCCCAATCAGTAAGTTGTGTTTTCATTTTGTTGATGGTTTCTTTTACTGGGCAGAAGATTTTAAGTTTAATTAGGTCTTGTTTGTTTATTTTTGCTTTTATTTCCTTTACTTCAGGAGACAGATCCAAAAATACCACTGTGATAGTGTTCTGCCTTTCCTTTCCTCTAGGAGATTTATATATAGTACCCTGTTTTGGGGTCTTTAATACACTTTGTTTGTTTTTGTATATGGTGTTAGAGAATATTCTAATTTCATTCTTTTGCATGTAGCTGTCCAGTTTTCCCAGCATGATCTATTGAAGAGACTGTCTTTTCTCAATTGTTTATTCTTGACTCATTTGTCATAGATTAATTGACCATAAGTGCATGAGTTTATTACTGGGCTTTCTGTCCTATTCCATTGACCTCTGTGTCTGTTTTCATGCCAGTACCATATTGTTTTGATTACTGTAGTATTTTAATATAGTCTGTAGCATAGTCAAAAGTCAGGGAGCATGGTTCCTCCAGCTCTGTTCTTCTTTCTCAAGATTACTTTGGCTATTTGAGATCTTTTGTGTTCCCATACAAATTTTAATTTTTCTTCGTTTCAGTAGTGTGAAAAATGCCATTGTTAATTTGATAGGGATTGCATTGAATCTTTAGATTGCCTTAGGTAGTATAGTCATCTGAACAATACTGATTCTTCCAATATAAGAATATAGTATATCTTTGCATCTATTTGTGTGGTTTTCAATTTTATTTCATCAGTATCTTAGTTTTTGAAGTATAGGTCTTTTGCCTTCTTGAGTAGGTTCATTCTTTGGCTGGTTTGTTTGTTTTCTTGGATATAATGGTAAATCAAACACATCTTTGAAGAAGTTCATTAATTTCATACAGAATTTGCTTTAAGTATTAGTTCAATAAATATTGACTTATTATTTTAACCTATGACTTCAGTTCTCAAATAAGATTGAAATTTATTCTTAAGAAGGCTAGCTATCTCTTTGGAGTCTAGTCTTATTTGTGTATTTTGGAAAGACACATGCTTAACAGACATCTACTGATTAGTTTTGCCACTCTTAAATCAGAAAGACTAAAAAGAAAAAGACACAAAATATCATACTTTTTCTCAAATGTAGGGATGAAACAAAGTAAACTCTTGTGCTTGGACTCTTCAGTATCAGAGGTGTGTTCATCATCTTCATGGAGAGCCCCTTCACAGTTTAGATGCTGAGCCAGATGCAGTCTTGATGTATTGAGCTTTTAGGCTTCCCTTATAAAAAGATTATCATATTCTGTTGCCATGGATTTATTTCCCACACTACCAACCAAGTCTGTATCTCACACTCAGGGTGGGTAGGAAGTCCATGAGGATCAGTCTGATCATGCAGTAGAGTCAAACTGGATAATTTCAGTCTGAACCCACCTTTCTTTTAGTGTAAATTAGTGGTTGTGAGTTTTAAAATTAAGTGCATAATTAATTGCCCCAAATCCATTTCATATGCTGTTATTAAAACCCACAATTAAATTATTCTACTCTATGTAGCTGGCAGGATGATTTTTCAGGAAAGCCAGGGCAAAGCCAAACCAAACATCTGAAGCCTGGGTCTCTGGGTTATAATACATGCATAGGAAAACCACCTGGGAACTGAGACTAAGTGAGATAAAACTTCAGTGATATCTTAATGATGTTCTTAATGGTTTCTAAACCTTTGCCACTCAGATTTCTGCTTACGCACATATTTTGCAGTTTAGTCCTTTGGTTTATTCAGTTCAGCTCAGTTCAGTTGCTCAGTCATGTCTGACTCTTTGCGACCCCATGAACTGCAGCACGCCAGGGCTCCCTGTTCATCACCAACTCCCGGAGTCCACCCAAACCCATGTCCATCGAGTCGGTGATGCCATCCAACCATCTCATCCTCTGTCGTCCCCTTCTCCTCCTGCCCCCAATCCCTCTCAGCATCAGGGTCTTTTCCAGTGGGTCAGCTCTTCACATCAGGTGGCCAAAGTATTGGAGTTTCAGCTTCAACATGAGTCCTTCCAATGAACACCCAAGACTGATCTCCTTTAGGATGGACTGGTTGAATCTCCTTGCAGTCCAAGAGAGTCTCAAGAGTCTTCTCCAACACCTTCTTTTAATCTTTGGTACCAGTGGCTAGCTGTATTAAACAAATTTTAAAAATCAGGAACATTTCATAGGAATTCTGTGTGTGTTCTGTGGCTTCTCAAGTGCTCATAGAGTCTGTCATTATTATCTGGTACTGTGCATGTGTGTGCATGTGTGTGTGTGTGTGTGTGTGTGTGTGTGTGTGTGCAGTCATTTCGGTCGTGTCCAACACTTTGGACTATAGCCCACCAGGCTCTTCTGTCCATGGGATTCTCCAGGCAAGAATATTGGAGTGGGTTGCTATGCTCTTCTCCAGACCTTCTCAACTCAGGGTTTGAACCAGTGTCTTCTGCATCACAGGTGGATTCTTTACTGCTGAGCCACCCAAAGCCCTACTGATTAATAAAAACTTTTCAAGCAGAAAATGGATAGAAAAAAGACTCTTTAGGTGACTTTACCAAAAGTTGATAGAGACAAAGTTTTCAGGTCAGATGCTAGTGTTGATTCAGCCTGGATTAATGGTAGGGTAGAAGAGCATTCTCTGTTATTCTCTGGTAATCCTTCCTCCATATGTCTGATCCCACACAGAGCTGTCTTCTCGTGGGTGTTTACCATATGGGTCTGTTGTAGGAGCCTGTTTGTACATTTTTGGATCATGAGTATCATAACTTCTGCTCAGTCAAGCCTCCACCTCAATTCACTTATTTAAGAATCTGTTCTAAGAAAGTAGCTATTTCAAAGGTGCTTAATACTACAGTCAGAAGGATCACTGATGACCTAGTGGTAAATCAACCAGGTCAAATGTTTTCCAACATGATTTACCTTTCCTATATATTGCTCCAAGTACCTACCACTACTTCTTGTTGCTGTTCAGTCACTAAGTCATGTTCAACTCTTTGTGACCTCATGGACTACAACACACCAGGCTCCTCTGTCCTCCACTATCTCCCAGAGTTTGCCCAGGTTCATGTCCATTGAGTCAGTGATGCAGTCTAACCACCTTACCCTCTGCCACCCCTTTCTCTATTTCCTCAATCTTTCCCATCATCAGGGTCTTTTCCAATGGGTCGGTTCTTTGCATCAGGTGGCCAAAGTATTGAAGTTTCAGCATCAGTCCTTCCAATGAATATTCAGGGTTAATTTCCTTTAGGATTGACTGGTCGTATCTCCTTAAAGTCCAAGGGACTCTCAACAGTCTTCTCCAGTGCCACAGTCTGAAAGCATTAATTCTTTGGCATTCAGTCTACTTTCTCATCATGCACAATTACTGGAAAACCATAGCTTTGACCATGTGGACCTTCATTGGCAAAGAAATGTCTCTGCTTTTTAATATGCTGTCTAGGTCTGTCATAGCTTTTCTCCCAAGGAGCAAGTGTATTTTAATTTCATGGCTGCAGTCATTGTCCACCGTGATTTTGGAGCTAAGAAAAGAAAATCTGTCACTGTTTCAACTTTTTCCCCATCTGTTTGCCATGAAGTGATGGGACCAGAGGCCATGATATTCATTTCTTGAATGTTGATTTTTAAGCCAGCTTTTGCACTCTTCTCTTTCACCCTTATCAAGAGGCTCTTTAGTTCCTCTTTACTTTCTGCCCTTAGAGTGGTATCATCTGCATATCTGAGGTTGTTGATATTTCTCTTGACAATCTTGATTCCAGCTTGTGACTCATCCAGCCCAGAATTTTGCATGATGTATCTGCATCTAAGTTAAATAAACAAGATGACAATATACAGTCTTGATGTACTCCTTTCCCAATTTTGAACCAGTCCATTGTTCCATGTCTGGTTCTAACTGTTGCTTCTTGACCTGCATACAGGTTTCTTATTATTATTACCTGGTAAATCCTTTTCACCATTCCCAAGATGTGATAATTTCCCAAGCTTTTAATTTACCCTCATTATCCTAACTGGCTTTTTTCTTGCCTGCTGGTATGTGTATTGTAATTATACTTATTGTTGAAGTTGGGAGTAACAGACAACACAGAGGACTACTGGATATGCTCAGAGTCTCCACTATTTAAATCTCTTACTATTTTCTACTGTTTACTTAGGAACTACCAAAGTTGGTGTAGGAGGATATAAAGAATGAAAACAATAATACTAAGGATCACACTTCACAGACTTAGTTAAATATTTTTTTATTCTTTCTTGAGTGCCTGCCTATGTTGGGTTAAAGTGTATTTAATAAGAACCTTGATG